ATTGGTGGATGATGAACAAAAAGAGTTACATAAATTGGAATCAGTATTTGGTAAACAAACAATGTCAATATTTGGTAAATTTGATACAGTTAGTGATATAGCATTGATATTTTATTTCACAAGTGCAACCATAATTGGAGTTTATTCCATTCAACCATTTAAAAGAATACGTCCAAGATTTGGCATTAGTAGTAATAGTCATAGCAGAATGGGCTTGCAACATATTATAGCTAACGTTACGGTTTTATTGGTGATTAGCAGCAGTTGGCCCGCTTTAGTTAGAGTTTTGGGATTGATAAGACTGGATTCGGCTGGACCTTATGAACAATTTCATAAATTAAATAATACCGGTCAATTATTGGCTATAGCTTTTCGTCTTGGAGTTTTAATTACTACGGTGTTTCCTATTTTGGATTATTATGTTTTAAGAAGTATATCTGGTGTGAGATTGACAATAGACAATGATAGTGGCGATGGTAACGATGGCATTATTGATAATGGTAATGGTCTTGAGAATAGCCATCTAGTTAATGGGTTTAATGGTTTGATTTGAATAGACTTGTGTTGCTAAATGTATGGATCGTTAAAGGATGAATCTGAAACTTGAACAAAAATATTTAAAAGTGTGGTATATGTTACGTTCATTGGTAATTGTTTCACGAATATAAACGGGTTGAATACTGCAGTAGAAAGTCTTGCAGTTTGGCGTCATCTAAACGTAAGAATAAAAGTAGAACAGGTTCCGATTACCAAAAAATACGAACTAATTAATTATTAGGAGAGTGTGAATTCGGTGTAGGTGAAGTTGGTAAAGGTCAAATTGATCAAGGAATGTGGACTCAAAAGACCAAGATGTTAAAGGGTATGTTTATGTTGATTGGCAAGACAATAAATTTCATAAATTAGAATCTCTAGTTTCATACATGCTGACAAGTATTCATTTTAAATGCATATATATAATAATATTAGCTACAACTATATTGTTTGTATATGATGCTATTAAGAATGGATGCACAGTGTGTATATAGCCATAACTGAGAAAACTGAAGTGAGCATTATTATTACTTTTATTATTATTCTCATCTCTCAAGTCCAAAACATCCAAAACTTTGGCAAATAATTAGAAATCTATCAAA